TGTTCGTGTATTTGTCTTGATACTTAGTTTTATTTTAGGTTAAGCAGTTGAGATTTCCGTAAAACTATTCTGAAATGGCTTTTGTCACGCTTTAAGCATTGAGCCGCTTATGGAAATCAGATCTGTTTGAAGTTCTTAGCAGGCTGTGGTGAAAGATAGGTCAGTGAAATAATAAATGACTGTGAATCTATTGGTATACTCATTAACTAGGTGAGGGATACTTGTTTGCACCCAGATGAGGCAGAATGACACATGTTTCCGGGAGGTTATCAGTTGTCATTATTTGTTCGTCGCTGATGAGTAGGTTATGATGTTGAATACCAATCTGCAATACATTTTTTTCTCATGATCCGCTAATCAAGCATCTTAACGACAGCTTCTGAAGACACAGAGAAGATTTTACGTCAAAAATAAAGGTGGCATACTTCAAAACTGGACACACTGTGTTCGGATAAACGTAGGTTTCAACCTATAGTTTTCAAATGCACTGGATTTCAGATGGATACAAATATTCTGGTAAATTTGAGTAGCTAACGAATTACTTTCATTATTTGTCTACTTAATTTCTAAATCAAAAAGAACTATTCTTCAAATAAGTTGGTTCTCAAATATGACAAAACACATTTTTTTCAGTCATAACTTGTGATATTCAACACAAAAGCATCATAAACCAACTAAATGTATAACTGAGCAGCACGACTTATTATAAACTATTCATACGAATCGGTTGGCTGACCTTCAGAACAGTGTAACATGATAGATGTAATCGGTAGATTTTTCGGCAAAATCATTCGCTTCTACCACTATTAATAATTTTCATACAAGCATTACTGACATTAATTCATGTCAAAAAACAAAGATGAATCTTCTTGACTTATAATCTACTTAAATGCTCTTATGCATAGGATCTTTACTTGGCAACCACTAATTGCTGGACATAGCTGAGATTCTAATCACTACTGAGAACAACAGCAACAACAACAACAACTAGTACTAATACGATTATTACTACTAGAAGTATTACTATGTGCAGTCTTCCATATTTTATTAAATCAGCTATTTCAACTTCAAACAGTATGTTTAGGAGGCATTTAGTCTCAGCCATTAACCACATTTAGTGTTTCCTTCCTACAGTTATCAACAATATTCCGAATTCCTTTTATCTTCTTTTAATTGGCCTATCTTAAGTCAGTATTGACCTTCAGAACACGATTGCCGATTGTTTTGTTTTCCTTCAAATGGTCTATAACTTATTGGATAGCTTGTAAATATTTTTTTCTTTATGGATTAACATCAGTAAAAAAATCAATGAAAAATTAACACCATTGTAGAGATGTTTTATTTTAGTTTGTGATGTTTTAACAATTTGCAAAAAAGATGTCATGTAGAATCAGAATTACCATGTTCGAGTCTTATGGTGTACTGATATGCCGGGATGTACAAATGTACACCTTTTTACCGCACTGAATTGATGATAGAGTGCAAAATGTTTATGTTACAGTAAGTTAGTAACGTACGGGCCATCTGTTTACATTCCATGTACATCAACGTACTGAACAACAATCCACTATTCAATGGTAGTTTGAACAAACTAACTGCCTTAAAACCCAGAAGGACAAGTGTGTAACCACATACGATCAATGCCAAATAATGGTACTGTTAAGTGTCTGTGCTATGTTGTTTCTTACTGTTCATAGGAGTGTCCAACGTCCTACCTAGTAACTGAATAGTAAAATTTCTACTGTGAAACTTGAGAGCACTGAGTCCTTTCTTGCAGAATAAAAAAATAAGAACTATTAAACTTGGAATTAAGGCGAATGCCCCTTCCTACGCACCTAGTTATCAATATTCTTCCAGTTACTATCAGTCAGTCGATTATTAAAAGCATCTTTAATCAACTATTTCATTAGAGCATATCTCCATGGGATGACCGTTTATCCTTGCACAACATAGGATTATTTGATAGTGTATAGTGAAGGAAGTGTGAAACAATATGGATAGCTTCATTTTTCGAACAAACAATTAATCTGTGTTAAGATAAACGGATCTAGTGGAACACATATTGTATTTTGTAACAATTAGTTTGTTACTATTATTCCTGTGTTCCTTCGACTCACTACCTTAATGTTAGTCCTGGATTTCAAACCTTCATTTATTTCTACTAATTAAAAGTATGTTATGCCATTATTACTACTAAAACTTCATTTCGATTTTAGGCTGTTAGTAGCTGATGAAAGGCCATGCAATAAAATGTGGTCATTTTGTTCTGCAAATGTTTTGGTTCTTGTATTGTTTAAGCGGATATTGTAATCGAAAGTTAAACATCTGGATTACAAGACTGTTGTTGGGTGAGTGAAAGGATATAGAATCAATGTATTGCCTGGGATCGGCCTAATCTTCTTGTAGGCTAGCAGTCGAATAGAGGACTCACGTCTCCTCTTATTCAGAGCTCGTCAGGTGATATGCCTCCATCCCAGTGAGACTGGCACACAGTGCTCATTGCTTCAGACACCATAGCGTGTCCCAGTGGCCTATTAGATAAGGCTTTGGCATTTGAAGCGATGAGTACTGAGTCCCAGTCTCAGTGGTTACAACACCAATAACTAAGATCTAAGTACATCCAGCTGAAACACGCGTTTTGGATTTCACAGCTACCACGAAGTAGACTACAATATAATGGACATTCGAGCAGTATTGTGGTATCTGCATAGGAGCCTATTTTCCAACACAGGTAAAGCAATTTGACCCTACCTACATAGCAACGGGAAAATTACAAGTACCATTAAAGGGTAATTTAAAGGTTATTTGTATAAATATTCCAAACTGACACAACTTATTCGGATTTTAACACCTCTGTCGGATGGAACCATATCCTGACTAGATTTATCTAACATGTGACTACTGAAAGTTACCTGATTACATTCCTTCAATAATCTTCATTCCACTGATCATTGAATTACTTAAAGAATCATTTGAAGACAGTTGAATATATATGTCTTTGTTTTAATTCACAGTAAAACAAGTATGTATTTTCAAAAACTCCTAGTCTACTAACTAAAAGAATTCGCTTGTTAAGAAGTTGGTTTCAATAAAATAAAATTTTAATGATAATGAGGATAGATATCTTCACAACTTCTTAGAGCTATTACCTAATCCCTAGAAAATTAGATTAAGTTAAGAATTCAAAACAAATGATGTGTAGTCAATAGTTTTAAAATCATATCATGCTGTTTGTACATTGATTACTTATGCTGTATTCGTTTCCACGTCACAGTAGCCAGCTGTGGTCTTATTGAGTATTTCACATTTTAACCGTGGTTCAGTTGTTCTCTCAGGTTGTTTGGAGACGGAATGACTTTTGTGAAAATAGACTTAACAGTGAACCAAATGATGTCACTTAGATGACAGGGAAACAATAAGGGCTGTATAGCATTTCTATCTTACTTTATGTTTCCTTAACAGCAGTCACCCTGAGAACTAGGAGTAGTAAAAAACAGTCAGCTGTTTTAAAAAAGCACTTCTCGTATATGTTTATTAGTTTATATCAGTTAATCCCTCGTTAACATTGATATTCTGATAAGTTTCTAACTACTCTTGTAGATATAAATAAATCTGCAACTGTATTTTGGGTTCGAATTCCTTTGATAGCATGAGTTACCCTAAGATTACGAGTAGACTTCAAAAATAAATGCGAGAAAGTAAGAAACTTGCTTACATGGAGTCATACTGGTTACATGAAGATACTTAGCATGATCAGGTTTGAATTGTTTGTAATTCATTTGCGACTTCTATAGTGTCTACTGACTATTCTTAAAGAATGGTAATTTCTGGAATGCTTAGGTGTGGTGTCATGAGAGAATTTCCTTTTAAAGTCGCTCAGATGAACAAGACCACAGATTGCGACCTCTGATATGGAAGTATCAAAAGCTAACAGAATATTTTACTAAACGATTTAGATGGGATTTTAAAACTACTGAGACTGAAGTACAAAATTTGTTAATAAGAGCAAAACTATTTACTGATTCATCAAGCTCAGCTATCCGGATTCATAGTATCTGAAGGACTAAGTTCCACTAGTTGTTCGGTTTTATTACCCACGAACTTGGTCCCAGAAGAAGGACGCAACCATTTGATGTTTCAATCACTCTGACAGATGGAATCCCTGAACTTATCTTGGAGTTGATAACCATAGAGTAACATCATTTTGTCGCTTTCGTTACCGACTTTTTTGATCATGATTCAGAAACGATAGTTCTAAGGAGTTCTTCCAGAGAAATCTTACCAGTTTTCTTCTAAGCGAAAGCAACTAAAATGTCCTCATTGAAATTATGTGGAACGTTTATAATAAACGATGCAAATATTCTAGTAGTAATGAGACTAACACTGAACTACTTGAGTGATCAGAAACCACTTAGGCTAATCTGTAGATTTCGCCAGTTAGATCAGAGTGATTTGAGCAATGGACAGTTTGTAAATTTGAGGATTCCACAGTTCACGTTTCCATTTCACACAGCAGAGACGTTTTTCAACCTCTCAGCTATGGTGCTAATAAGGTTTCCGGTGGAAGATACTCAGTCAAGATCACCGACAAAAAGTGTCATGAAGTAGCGACACATGCTACTACTGAACCACTTGAGTATTCAGAAACCACTCAGGCTAATCCGTAATATTTCGACCACCAGAGGAGAGTGACCTAAGCACCTAGTAGTAGTAGTGTTCGGAGTGAGCTATTCTCTGAGCTTTTTTGTTTGAATGTAACCTGATTTATCACTTGGCGAGTGTATGAGCATATACTGAACCCAATTTGCTGAATCCTTGTCTCCGGTTTGCTCAGTGGGGTGTGTGAAAAGTATTTTGTGTAATCATGTGAAAGTGATAACATATTTCTAGTTTAGCTTTCTGAATCTGATAACTGCAATTTTCCATCTCCAGTGGTCACAGAATTTTTCGTACTACTCAGATTGACAGCAGTCGAGAATTCAGGAAAAATATGCAAGGTTATCCTGATACTGTTTTTTCATTTCTTTTGTCCAGTTTCGTTAGAGGAAGTAATTTTATGAAAAGTTGTACAGATAAATTCAATTTACAGTTTTCTTAAGGTAAAAAATCCGGTCCACCCAGCAAATCAGAATTCACCAAATATATTCATAATCCAACGTGGTGGTATAAAAAAAAACAGTTTCACGTAAAGTCTTTTTCCAGCGTAGTAAATGAAATTCGAAGCTATACAGGTCAGTAGATGATAAAAGTCTCTTTGTTTATTTGGAATTATATGGTACTTAAAGTCAGTAAAGTGCTATCTGAATATCTCGGTCATCCTTCGACTTGCTTCACTCTTCATGAAGTTAGTAGTGATGACATCTGAAAGTCTGGTCTTGAAATTCTTTAACTAAATATAAAAGGTCAGTGAGTCCAATTAGGAAACTCACAGTTGTAATTTTCAAGAACGGGGCTGTCAGTGTAAGCGAACAATGAAATGTTATTTGTTATTCACATTAATCACATCCAGGAAACTCCATGAACAAGAAAGATTTGTCAGAAAACGTTATGTTACTTACAAGTAGTGTTAGAAATCAACTTAAATTACTAGTCTTTAATTGGAGATGAAGTGTTTGAGTTTTATCGGGATAACAAAAGAAGAGATACACAAATATTGGAAAATTGACCTTCATCAGTTGCTGGTAAGACCTCAAAATCAGAGCTGAGTTCTTACAACAAGATATACATATATGCTAACAAAACGAGATCAAATTCAATAAACGCAAACGAAGAAAAGTCAATTAATATTTCTTTTTCCCAAAAATGAGGAATTTTAACCATTGCATATATGAAAAGACAAAAATATATGAGTTCCTTTCAAATAGTTCACTTCAATTGCAACATTATTCAGTGTCAAAATGACATCCATTCTCTGCAAAGATCTACAAGGGGCATCAGGATTCATTTAACTCTTTTCAACTTTTCGACTGCTTATACTAGTTGTTCATCTTTAGACAGTTCACTAGGTATGGTATTGAATTGGAAAAGCTTATTCAGTAAAGGCAAATTTGGAGTCACTGACAGCAAATCCTTTGCATTAAGTGTGGACAAGTCTGACCAAAGATTCAATGTTGTATTGGACCATAAAGGATGTAAGTTAAACTGTGCTATAGTAGAGTCGGTTGATAAATTTAATTGCAGAAATTTGGCAGCTGCTGTAATAAACGAATTTTGAGCAACACCATTTGGTGATGAAGACATTGAAGTTAGTGAGGAGGATGACAAAGAGGATGATGAAGAAAGAGACGAAATGGAAGAGGAAGTGCATGAAACTAATGAAGAGGATAAAAAATTTGTACTTATTTCATTTGCGTATTTTTGATCTTGTATTTTCAAATTTTGACTTTGTACCAAGTCCTTGATAGCTGATTTAAATGGCCACCAGTCAGGTAATTCAACTAGTGCAGAATTATGCAATGAATCTGTAGAACTGAAATTTAACTGGTTGTCTGTTGTAATTCTTAGAGGAAAGGAGTTTATAACGGCAGATGAATCTGCAGCAGTTGAAGATTCTCTTGAAGACTTGAGTTTTTCTGGGTCTCTTTGTTGAGATATCTGTGGTGATTTCAGTGCAGACATTATTGAAGATGGAGGCTGAATGCTGATTTCACTTGGCTGGAATAAAAACATTTCTTTGCTATCTGACGTTGAAATATTACCTACAGCAGGACAGTCATCTTGACACAATTTTTTTAAATTATCTGATCTCTCATCTTTATTATTTTCTTGGTTCATATCATCACTTGTTACTTGGTCAGATTTCTTTTTCATAATAGCTTCCATGTTGGCTAGAATTGTCTGAGCCGCTGGATGGTACGCCCAATAGGGATTAGTTTGTAATATGCGCTGTACTGCTACAAAATTTCCAGCTTCAGCAAGCAATTCGAAACCAACTGCAGTCTGACGCTTCCATTTTGTTCTGGTTTTAAAACAAATGAAAAAATTGATCAGTTGGAAATAACTTATTTTAAAATTACAAATTTATTCAGCTGAATAGATTGGACTGGAATAAAAATCATGTTTACGCCGAAATTTCGAGTATATATTTTATCCTTCTACTGATATCCAGTCTGTTAAAAATGTTGTTATCCTCATGAGTTGATTGAGTTTATAATACGCTGGTTTCTAGTTCTAGAAACCAATGGTACTTTCCATGGTTTCTTTGTTTTGCTTTGAATAAAGTGAAAGTGGTGTAGATTGTTAAAAATATGAAGTCTCAGCTGTGCAGCAATTTTTTTTTTCCGCCAAAATTATCCCATTACTGATCAGAATGAATAATTTATTAAATGTTGATCTTTTCTACAGCTGAATTATTTTCTGTTTTGTTAAATCTGAATGAATTGGTAGACTTAAAATACGCAAACACACTGATTTCTATTCGGAATTGGTTGAAATTTTTGTTTTTGTTCACTGGTTGTTTTACACAAACACGTGTATCTGAACACATTTAAACTTAAAAGTGCTGAGAAGTAACGTCATCTATCTAAACTTTAGTCGCTCGTAGTGGTGAAAAGTGAATATTTAAACAATACGCATACTGATCTGAAAGTTTAGCCAAAAAGTTCAAAGGAGTTTAAGCTTGATGATGTCCCTGTAGGAACTATTAACTTTGCGGTAACCTTAATACAAACAATTTAACTTTTGAGTAAGTCGAAAGTTGTAATGCGAAGAAGAGTCGAAACACTCAACGATGAATATTCTGTTGGACAAAAAGCACCAAATCCCGCCCGTTGAACTTTGATATCCTGTTACTACGCCTTGTTCCGTGTTTTAATTTTTCTACATAATACCATGTGCTCATAAACTAAACTGTGGTTTACACTGTTTGATAAGTTCGACTGAAGTCAATAAAATTCATCAAAGGTCACTTCTTTCATGAATTTTAAAAGTTGCATTGGGAAACGATGATTTTTGATACAATCCATTTTAAATTAGGAATTTCCTCCTATCAGCGCCAAAAGGACAGTCTAATCTAACAGATGATGAAATTTATCCAGTTTATACTCAGGTTTAAAAACAAGTTAGTTCACTTTTGCCTACTCAAGTGTTTCAAAGGAATTGTCACCAGAAGTGTCAGACAGAAACACTCTCACTCTTTAATTGATAAGGTCTAGTTTGAGAACAGTTTCTGTAACTATACTAAATAATGGTTGCATAGTATCTTGAACTAAGTGAAGTCATAAAGAATACATAATCAGTTTCCAAATCAGAGATTAAATCTTCAAATATCCATTGCAAACTTCAAAGTACTTCAGTAAGCGACGGAATCCAGCACTTCTAGAAAGTGATAAAGTTGAACGCAACATCCGTTAACTACTGTCAGGTATGCGATAATTTTTTAACCGGTATTGTCGGTAAGCAAAAAATGTTTTTTAGCTGGTCTCCAGATGCAGTTTCAAAACTATTATAAGCCAAAAGTCCCTACATGATTGCTTTATTCTACTTTCTCACTTCTCAAATAAACTAAACGTTTTTGAGTCATGTAACTAAGTCACTCAAATGGGAACAAACAGGTAACATTTTTTTAAACGAATTACTAGGAACTAAAAATTCAGATCATCGAATTTTCACCAGTGATCCTTACATAAGATGACCTTCACAAAAACTGAATATTATTAAGTCAACCTCAGAAGGTGGCAAAGTTTGATCCTCATTTGCTGGTTGTTGTTACGACAAAATACCTCTCCAGTAGTATTCTAAGTAGTAGCAATAATGGAATTCGTCTTATTAAATACTAATATCCGAAGTAGTTTCGTCAAAATAAGCCCTCTGATTGTTGTTCGTTCCGGGTGAAAACCATAAACTACTACAAAGTCTGACTTATACATTGATAAATCGAATGAGACCTCACTAGTACCAGAATCCAATAAATATATTTGGACACAAAATATCTACCAAAATTCTTGATAATATACCATCAGTTCTATGTGACTAAACGCATACAGACACATCTGACAGCCAAATGTGGTTATTTCGGCAGCTGAGGGCAATACATCAAATTCTAACTTTCTTGACATTGAAATGGAGTGATTTAGATTCCATTGTGTTGAAGAGCAAAGTTTTCTTCGACAGTATGATTACCCCTTACTGAGCAGTATTTACTATCATGAAATGCGTGTGAACCTAAGGTTCCAACAGACTATCTGAAATTACCTAATAATTCTTATTTTTTTGACCACTGGACAAGCGTCTGCATAATTTTCTAAAACAACGAACAGTAATTTTTATAGGTAATCTGAATAACGGTGATTTCCTGCTAGTCGTACAGTGACAAAGTATGTGTTTCCTTGGTGGCTGTTCTTAGCAACATTTACTTACTCATTTTTATTTCACAAAGTGCACATCGATGCCAAAACAAAGACCACACAAACCAGGAATTTCCTTGACAATCAGGATTAAAATATAGTGAAAAGTCATCGGTATAAGACTGTGAGGATTAGCACGATCGAAAATAAACTGAAAATTATGTAGTGAACATTTACTCAGAAACCAGTTTTTTGTAAAAGAATTGCTTAAATAGTTTGAAAGTCAACAAATGTTGATATTTTTCACATAAATGAGCACTGCTTCAACTGATTGACCGATACTCCAATAAAGTGCTTAGGTTAAATCATTTACTAAAGGCAAGCTAGGCTTCATGTATATGAAAGAAACTGTTTCAAAAGTAATATGAACTATTGGGGCTAGTTTAAATATTTTAATGGTTAAAGAGTCTGACTGTCTAGCAGTTAGTCACAGTTTCCGATAACCAACCACATGTTAAAGTTTGAACGAAAAAAATTGTAACACGAATCTCCAATGATAAACGGCTATGTGGTAGTCTGCAAGTATTTTATACACTACTTCACTTCATGAACATGAAAATTTATTCATAAACTCACCTTCTGTTTTGATACCATGTTTTCACCTGTGTATCTGTTAATCTCAATCTCTCTGCCAGTTCTACACGATCTTGAACACTAAGATATTTCTGTCGATCAAACATTTTCTCAAGTTCATTTAACTGTAAATCAGTAAACGCAGTTCTTGCTTTACGCGGCTTCTTTGATTTATTCAATCCACTGTGATATTCATAATCCTTTACACTATGTTGATGCTGATGATGTGAATACGAATGGTTTATTTTTGAACTTGTAAATGATTTTCTGTTCATCATTTGATCTGGACTATAATTTTGAGATTGCTCTGTATGCTGATATGAATCTGTTGAATTCGTTGAATATACAGATTCACTTGATTCCGCATCAGAACATCCATCGTCTTCTTCTGTAGTAGTACTGTGAATAGGCTGACTGATCAAATTATTGTTAGATTGCTTATTCTTTGTTTCATTGAAATCTTTATGGAGAAAATAAGAGATAAGAAACATTATTATTCTGTAATTAACCTGTATGCTAAAACTTTTTGGCATTAGATACAGTAATGACTAAAGTTGTTAAGAAAGATGTTTTTTGATGGTAAGTATACTAAGCAGTAATAATGTGTCTTGTTCTCACGCTAAGTGAAACCTGTTCAGACAATTAATTATTGAGTCATTACTTCCGTAAAACTTAGTGGTATGCCTTGTTGATGAATGCCAGTAATGGAGAAAACTAGGTTGCACGGCGTTTCTTTCAAACTACCTTTCACCACTAACCATGACACTTCATGAAAAGTCATCATTCAGTCACTCTTTATCAGTCTAGTCTAGCCGTCAGAACTCATTTCTGAAATATGCTGTCAAAAAAAATAAGTTGTAAGATCATACTTCTGCTAATCTGAATACTCTTCTCTAAACAGAATGATGTGATGCAAATACTGCATAGAGGTCACCATACCTTGAGGCTGACGTTTTCGGAGGTGAGTACCCTGAAAAATTCGGTACACAAGACTGAGATCAATTTAATCTGATTAACTAGATTGGTTTAACAGGTATGCTATGAAACAAATGAGCAGTATCTCAACTGCTGATAAGTCGAGTCGTTCATGCTGGCGTTTCTCTCATTTATGTGGTCGCCGATTAGGAGACTGTGATGTCGGAAAAGCTATGTGTCTAAGACGACCTACCTAGTATCACACTCTATAAACTGTGGAATGAATGTGTAATGAACTAAGAGTTGGTATTATTGAACAATGCTGCTAACGACAGTTGAATTCTGACGAGCAGCAGATTTCATCAACTCTCATTTACTAGATAAATTTTTTCATTCCATCTGATTGGTTTATATACTCTTTTGTAAACAGCTTCATTTCCCCTTTTCCCATTTATCCCATATGCTACAGCCTACTCTAGTATTAACAAACATTTACTCCCACTTAAGTTTCCGTCAATGTATCTGAAAGTAAGTCAATACTGAAACCGTTTAGAATCAACTAAATTCCGTAGGTCAAAATTAATTTTAAGTTCTTTACCAAATTGTAAATAAGCAGTTTTAATTAAATAAGTGCCAGAAATTATACTTCATTAGTCTATTCAAATGCACATCTTAGGTGACGCAATGAGAAATCACATGAATTAATTATTGGGGAGATATGCGATATTCTGAAAAAACTGTATTGCCAATGTAGACCTGTCTCTAAACTGTGAGTAGTTTCTTCAACATATCTTTAGTGTCAGTTTTCTTCTGTCAGTCAATAACAGCAAACTGGTCACATTTAGTTGATAGGGTACTAATAAAGATTGGTGGTTTATTTTCCTGTTTATATTAGTGGCAAGTCTTGAAGCCTAAGATGAAGACTAAAATTATTTTATTCTCTGTGAATGTTTGGTTTTCAGTATCGGTGACTTCTGCATCATTGCATCCATGAAGAAGTCATTAATGGTATAAAGAATCTATTCACAACTAAACTTTGAGGCTCATGAAACAATCCAGTAACTTTTGTTCTATTTTCAAGACAAAACCTAATCAATTTTGATATTTGTGCATTAGATTAGGAGAAGTTATTTATTTCATATGAATAACTTTAACATTTAACAAATTTGTTCATGTTTGTTCACTATATGATGAGCCAAAAATAAGTTGTGAAGTTATGCTAGTATATATATACATTAAACCTCAATAAGTGGAGACAGATTCCACTTGTCAACCTGTTATTCTTATTGTGACTGCCTGAACTAGCAAATTTCGTTATTCTCATTTTTGCATTTATGCTAATTATGTGATCAGAAGTGCAAAAAAACTTTACTATTATATCTTCTGGTTTAAGAAAGGTACAAACACTCAAATACATTATGTTTACCCACTGAGTAATGTACAACAAGTGAACGTAAAGGTATGTGATTTATGGGTTGATATTCGTCATGGATTGACATCAGTTGGAGAAACACTGAGAACCTGGGAGCATTGGATAGCTGTTTCGTTCTAGTATGAGACTCCTCAGCAGTGCGCATCCATGACCCCACTATGGATCAACCTTCAGGTTCAACATCCAACACCTTGTCACTGAGGTACCTCACTGGTTTCTAACAGTTCTATTTCACACTTTTGTCAGTTTAGAATATAGGGCGACCTCCACTGAATGCCACTGGTGATTATCTGTCCTTGTATCCGACTTGATTGGGCACACCCGTCAGTCATTCAGTTCATGGAGAATACCAGCCTTAAATCGACAAATGAATTCCCACAAACTTTCAGAATAAAGCGATTCAGTGCTCATTGGTAACTACCTTCGAGAATCCATTCTGAAAGTTCCTATGAGGAGTCGTGAACTGTGAGGTCAACCAAGTCTAATATGAAGACAGATAATCAGCAATGGCATTCAGTGGAGGTCGCCCTATATTCTAAACTGACAAAAGTGTGAAATAGAACTGTTAGAAACCAGTGAGGTACCTCAGTGACAAGGTGTTGGATGTTGAACCTGAAGGTTGATCCATAGTGGGGTCATGGATGCGCACTGCTGAGGAGTCTCATACTAGAACGAAACAGCTATCCAATGCTCCCAGGTTCTCAGTGTTTCTTCAACTGATGTCAATCCATGATGAATACTAACCTGAAATAAGTAAATGAATCCCGATGAACCTCCAAAATGAAATAGTGGTAGGTAATTTTTTATATATATATATATATATATATATATATATATAAAACCTCATAAACGTTAAGCTGCAGCTTATAATCCAAAAAATAGTAGTATATGCTTGTGACTTAATTGTTGCAAATTTATATAAGTGGGTGCGGTACACAATGAAATAAACGTCATCATAACTAATATACAAGTAATTCTGTCATACGAGGTATCTAATCATGAAGTCATGAACTTTTCGTTACTTCTACTATCCTACACTTATCTGCCAATGTAAACTGTCATAGGTAAAAGATTTGATAACGTTGGGGTTGATGATTACCAGCTTACAGAATATACTCACTGGACGCAAGCACGTTGAACTAAAGAGTCCCACATAGCACGAAACACGCTTTTTAAATGTCTTTGATAGCCATCATTAAGCGAATAATATCCAAATGAAGTTCAAGGAAATATTGAGGCATTCATGCAAAGAGCCCATATGCCAACAGATATTCAGTGGTAAGTGAAAAATAACTTTAGTTACTTCCAATTCGTTGTGTTGATATGTTAAATCAGTACTACTTCCATTAACCTCATGCTTTACATTATGTATTTGAGCAAACATCTCATCTTATTCGGTAAAATGTTCAACAGTTTGTTTGTCATATGGTCACGTCTCATATACACTACTTGTTTAAAAAATTTGACTTCTAACAAGTTTCATAAATTTTCTCAGCATCTATACTGAAACAGTTAGGTCAGAAATCTCTTTAGTTCACGACATTAAAGGCATCCTGAAGGCATATTACACAAGGATTATAGCTATCATAATTTCATCTTTCTTTTTAATAGGTTTTAAAAAACACTATGTATTATGAAGACTGTGCCGTATAAGATGTAAAACTTTAAATGAATACTATTAGGTCACCTACAGAATGAAGCAACTCAGAGTAAGAAGCGGGCAGTTATGACACATTTCAGATTTAGAGGTTTTGGTGAAGGAAAAGAATTTACTGTTGGTTAATGCAGGGTCAAAAAGAGAGATTAAAGAGCTGTAGTAACACTCTCTGGTTTCTTAAACCTTTCTAACTGCTTTTAACATTATCTTATCAGAATTTGTTGATACTAAATGAATAACTTCTGTTGTATACTGTCTGATCTCTTTCAGTCCATTTTAATCTACCTGTAGAATTGTCATTATTTACTGGAGAACGTTTCAGATATAATTTATGGACATTAAATTCTGCCCAAAACGTTATTCAGTTAATAATACCGTTTTACAGTGTGTGAATTCTAATAAACAGACTTAAATGTAACTACAATCTACAATCACAGACAAAAAGGACATCAAACAATATGTTTAGTTGAGATTTGAACTGAATATTCAGGTTAGTAATATGAAAGGGAAATCCTGATATTCAGCTTGTGAAAACTGGTGATCATGGATAGTGAACTGGGACAACGGATATTTCAAAAGATGGTAGATAAATTTAATGAGACAGGATTTTTTTCAAAATGTCTTTTTCGTCAGAGTGGTTGTATTTTGTATTAAAGCTTATCAAATTATTGATAAAATCTAAGCACCTACTGAAACCCTATCATGATTCTCCAACCATTAAACTCTGTCTTCCAGTTTTATTTTGTCTCGTTATATTGAGTCAGGTACAGTGATTGGGTTAGCTGTTTTTTTTCGACTGGACTAGTCATTCGCATAGTTATCTAATTATTCCATTTCTTGTTTATGTGAATAATCTGTGAAACTGAAAGGAGGCAGATTCTGTCTTCTCTAACTAACTAGGTTGTGCTCAATTCGAAGACCTCTGATAACCGTCTACTATGCGGGTTTCAACTCTATGCTATTAACTGGGTGTTTCGCCAAAATTTTACTGTAAATTAGGAGCATGAGACTACCTGTTCTTGATTATAGTATCTGCTCGGGCACATCCTATCCTTCAACAGTGACAAGAGACAAGTTAAGTGAGATAGGGTGCAATTTATTGTTTATTAGGTTGACTTTGCAAGTTGATTTAGCTGTCTAAATGGTTATTATGGAAATCAAGTTGATAACTTATAAATATATTTTTTGTTCACTAATAAATAGGTGCATAAATGGTCATCTGTTTCATTGCTCATATTGTCCGGCCTTCACTGGTTAATGATATATTGTAAGCACTTTAACACGAGTTTTAATGTATTTCTGAAGAAAATTTGCATTCATTTGACAAAACTGAACATTCAACTCCATAACTGAGTAGAATGATTGACTCCCAATACAAGCGTGCTCAACAACTTTTAATTGGCCACTTATTTGCCAATCCACCTCATTCTCCTCCTTCATACATGATTAAAAAGTATTAATTGATGTGATTAGTCTGAGATATAGATGGTGAAATATATAAATACGGGAAGTAGATTAACTTCCTGCTTAACTTTTTTAAAACCAACTTCCTTATTTTGAGGTTTATTTAAGTGAAACTACTGATTTATCTGTCCATCAGTAGTTTTATGTGTGTTAATGTCTCTTTCTAGACAATGTAATTTTTCTATACTGACCGACTAACCATTTCAAGAAAAGAATATTTCAAGGCCGTTTTCGTCATTAGTTTCCATCACAAGATAGCTATGTAGTAATTAGGCGTTTTATTTCATCTTGTAACCCCCAAATTAGTAAATTCATTCAACAACCGTTCATAATCTAATCTAAGACCTTTCATGGGATAGTAAGGTTTTGTTTTTGAGATATCAATTGAGAATTAAGAGGTCTACACGCTCTGATTAAGTCAGTTGTTTTGCTATCACTTAACTTGACCTGTGAAGATAATAGCTTCCTTCTGACTAGAATTTACGTGGATGATTCGCTGTTTAGTAGTAACAAAGTTATTCGTTAACGTTAATGACTTCGCACAGTGAATCACTGAAGGCTAAATGATATTGTTCCGGAAAATTACTGTTGTAAATTCACGTATAATCTATACGATATTTATACTATTCTGAAACGTTTTTCTTGATGTCATCCAAACCAAGAAGCTGAGATTTGATGAAATTTTGACTAAATCATTCCTTACAATTAAAAGTGAAAATAAAAAAGCCAGAACCTTTAAATTTTTGAAAGTGAAATTGTAGTCCGCATCTGTTATTGAATTATCCAGAATTTACAACCTATTATATGAATAGTACAATAAACTAAGTTTCTTTTTAATTTCATTCTATTTGGCATGTACTGAAATTTTGGAAAGTCTCAGATTCGACTGCAGTAATTGTCCTTACATGTTGTTTATCTAGAACAGGTGACGTCAGTCAAATAGAGTGAAATCTACAATCGTGACTTATCTGATTCACCTATGTTGTTAAGTCATTTTGACGGGTAAAAAGCAAAGGTATGACATTCATCTTTTTACAAGTTTTCTGTTTCATATTTTCAAACTATGACGTAATAGGGATTTGCAGCTCCTGTCTCACACAGTTAATTCTCATTCCTTTGTTTTCATATTATATTATAAGCTTACTTAGGATATTTGACAGAGAAGCACAGTTTAACAACAACTGTGTAGTCACATAGCTGCTCTCCAGTCAATTATTATGCAGAAAATCAAACCTTCTGACTGCTACGTTGCGAATAATATAGTAGAACTAAGTGGATTGCAATGAAATTGACTGATGTAATAACAAGAATATATTCACATCAAACTTGCCATGGGATTTACCTGTTTTATACTTTTGACAAAGTGGACATTTTAAAACACTGGTAAGGAAGTCACTTTCACCTATGAATTTCATAAACTCATCTTTTCTCGTGCGCATTTTTATTTTGCATATCTGGTTCAGACAGTTCAGGAAATATGAAAGTGTCTTACTGAGGTATACAGAATGCGAATTTCTCACCACCTATCGATATTCATGCAACAAGGTGGTACGCTTGTATATTGCGTAATGAGCATGAGACAGGTGACCTTGAAAGTTTGAGAACTGTTAATTATTCACAGCCTACATTTCTAACTCCCTATTTCTGAAATGCATGTTAACACAAAGAAATATACGAGAACTATTTGATCTATTAATAATGGAGTAAAAATTGAGCATTGTGATAGATTGTAATTTCACTCGAGTCTGTTTTTTAGATTTATTTTACAGGTAGACTTTAACAACGTTTTTCAATAATTTGGCATAGAAGTACGTATACACTGAGACTTAATCATCTGGTAAACGCATTCAAAAAAGTGATATGGTCAAACAGAGTGACTCTAAAGGCCATCCTAGCAGCCACTAAAATACACAATAAGATTTATATATCCTGTTCGAAACGATAGCACTTATATATAATGAAGCAGTCTAATTGGATACTTTAGTGGCCACTGGGATGACCTTTAGAGTCATTCACCAAAAGAACTTTTGTAACTTAAAACCCTTAGAGATGGTTATTTAGATAAATGAAATACTATCAATGAAGATTAACAAATTATGCATTAAAGTGCAATCGGTTGGTTAAAAATATACTCTAAGAGTATATTATGTAACTCTGAAGGCTTGTTTGATAAATTCTAGTCACTCTCAAGGTTTAAAGAATGCTGGCTGTGAGAATTCATTAACTTCTTGATGTAAAGTTAAAATATTAGGTAGTTCCTTAAGTGGTGCTTATAAGATAACATTATACGAAGGTAGTATGAGTACATTGATACGAGTACAATTCATGTGAATAAAATAAAATAGAAGCAAGAAAGTTCTCTAAAAACGACCTAACTATTTTCCAGACAGCTGTAAAATCATCGTAATTTATATTAAAAGCTACAGTGCTAAAGCATAATTAATGACACTGAGAAAATATGTTACGTGTATACTACTGGCTGACATTAGTAGTCAAGATAGTTTAGAACAAATTTCCCTGTCCGTGAACAGAATCATTCCTATCAAAAACATCAAATAATATATAGCATCAAATTAGTTCCCAAAGCGCATGTATGTGACCGTTGAATGTTTTTGATTAGTGTGAGTGGCTTTCAAATGATCGCATTATTTAGTGTTATTGCTGAAACGGAATTATGCGAAGTGGTTAAATTACGATTAAAATAGTAAATACGTCTACACTCAAACGAAATGGCTGGTAGACTTCCTACCTGATGTCGAATAAAATCCATCATGGTCCTCCAATGAACTGTGCAGACTGCCATCTGTACCATCTGAAGCAATCTTTGTTGTAGGGATTTCTGCTTGTGAATCGATGTATGAATTTTTCGTTAGCCCCATAAAAGAGGAAAATTTATGATTGTTTAAGTCAGTGTTCAAATACTTTCTCTTCAGGCAGACCTTTTTAGTTTCTTCATACTCCTGAGGTTTGTATGAGGGTGACATATTTTTGACTTCTTTGCCTTCTTTATCATTGTTATGTGCACTATTGTTTTCTTCGTGAATATTTCCATTCATTTTATGTTCATGAGTTGTTTTATCAGTAATGACAGTAGTTTTTGAGGACTTATCTAAAATATCATGAATCATAAATGATCTTAGTTGACATAACTCTTGAATTGAGGAAGAAACAAAGCCTGTTGATATTGTCGTCGATGGTGGTGATGACAATGATAATTTCGATGACGATAATGTTAATGGTGTCGACAGTGTGGGTGATGACGAATTCAATAAACAAACGTTATTTGATATAGTGTGAATTTCATTCATTTTCGATTGACTCCCATTCATCATACTAATGGGTAATTCCATAATTAATTTGCAAGTAGTACTAGACACTTGTGGGAGAAAGGGTATGATATACCTATTGCATATTTATTTGCTTTACAGCTTTAATATCATAATATTTGTGATTCAGACGTAAGGTATACTACACAGATATGCACGTTTGCAGAAAAGCCAACTAACACAAGTAATTATAGTTAGTCTGTGTAGTTTCGTGTATACTGAAGCTTACAGTTTGTCAGGAAAGCAGAATAATCTCAGAATTTACTCCTACAAAATGGATGTCACAAATTTCATTCCTCCAGCATTCTCTACCTTTTCCTCTCTCTCTCTCTTATCATTATTATGTGATACTACAAATTACTGGAATTGTTCAGATAAGATTAGGGATGGTAGTTGTATCTATATAGCTGAATACAGTAAAAAATATATCAGCAAATAAGCAGTGAGATAACTCCCTGATTCGGTTTTACCTACAGATAAATGTATGTATATGTGTGGGTTAGATATGAGTAGGAAAGAGAACAAATTTACCGTTTTGTTTTTTCGTTTTTGAGTTAAAATTTGTTGACTTTTCATTGGTTAATAGTCTGATAAACTGTCTTTATCTGCTGATGATTATAGCTAAATTGTTAAAGTCTCAACTCTTCCTGTCTCTATTCCTCTTCTATACTGTGAGTATGTTCACGTGTATGTGTGAACCAGCTTCTCATTCGCAGAAGAATGTACATAGTTTACTGTAATGTGGCTAAATATGTATTAAAAGAAATTCTATTGTTCGCTCATTTTAACTCTTAAAATTTTAATATTTTTGAGGTGAATATTTATATTTTCTCTAACCTGACTCCAGCATAGTGATAATTTGTAGCTTTATGTATATGCGTGTATTCCTATATACCATCGGAAATGGTAATGTTATTTCTAACCTTTCTGTATTAACCTCAATCTTCAGTAATGTTTTCAGAATTAGAGCAGAATACAGGGAAAATCTAATAGATTTGTTGGATTGAAAAGAAAAAAACAATGAGAATAAGTTGCATCTATGTGTTTAGGTGTGTGTGTGTTTGTGTGCGGGAAGTTGTTACGTTACTTAAAACTACACCAAAGTGAACATCTGCGAGGTAGATGTTTCGTCTGGCTATTCATTTCGTATTTGTGATGTTTTCAGTGTTGTGTTTTCTTAAGTGGATGACAAGAAAATCAGTGTTAAAAAGATTATGGTGCTTAAAATTGACTTAACAACAGATTATTGGAGATTGGAATTTGACTGGATGGCTAAAGTTACATAAACAGTTTCATGTTGTTTAGGTAGTGTAGAGGAACTGCGCTGCTACGTTACGTGCTTGTTGAAACTTATCCACAATGCGATTTCTTACAATTCCAGAGAGGTACGTTCATAATGATTCTAATGCAACTTCTGATAAATTACAGCTGTAGGTACTGTCTCCTGGACCTAAATTTTTTTGGCATTCGCAAGCTAGTTAAGCAGTTCGATACAGATGTACAGTTTGAACATTTCTTTGCACAAACCACTGATTTAGTTATCTCATTTGACACAGAGCTAGAAAGATTCAAATCTGTCTTAGCAGATTGTTGCTGTCAGTATAGAAACAACAGGAATACGGCTAAAACATTGTGACTAAAGAGTATCATGAAGCTGCAAAGCAGCTAAAAATGAACAAGAACATACTTATCACTAGATCTGATAAAGGCGCTGGTGTCGTGATTTTAGGCGAAGAAGAATATGTTGGAAGAATGAACACCAAACTGTAAGACGAAACAAAATTTCAAAAGTTAGAATCATTGAAAGACCCAAAACTGAAAAGAATATAATCTGTACACTAAAGGAGCTTACAGAAGAAGGGCTTATATCATCAGCTATGTTTGACAGTTTGAAGCTCGTGGGTACCATTCCTCGTATGTATGGCTTACCAAGAATACATAAAACGAAAGTACCACTCCCCCCTATCCTAGACATGTCATACTCGCTTTACCATGGGACTAGAAAGTGGCTAGTAAAAATGATACAGCCTTTATGGGACAAGCTAGTCAGATATAGTGTCAAGAACACCTTCCACTTTGTAGACACAGTAAGCAACGTAAATATTATGAATAAATATATAGCATCTCTCGATGTGACATCTTTATTCACTAATATTCCTCTCATTGAAACTGTGAACTATATCTGCAAACAGCTGGTAGAAAGAAAGATGAATACAGACACCCTGATGCAACTGGTATCGGTCGAGGAAGTGGGTTCTAATAATAAGCGAAACGAGTGAAAATGCAATAAGACACTTGGACTGGATACGGGTAGTGCTACTTTTCTCCCCTATATCTGATACTTCACTGAACGGCGAAAATCAGAAGACGAGAGACGAGCCTGTGGCTGACTTAAAAAAGACGAATTTATTTGACAAAAACAGAAATTGAAGCCACTAGATCACCATTCAGCTGAAGGAGGAAATCGTTCAGTAAAATCAGTTTGACCATACACAAACATAAATCAAGATCTGAAACGAGAATATTTCTACCCCAAAGGCGAAATGACCTTAAATGATGATTTCCACTTAGGCCACTTCCTATCACATCCCTATTGAGAATTTATGGGAGTTGCAGGTCACTTGCACAATGAATGTTCAATTCTTGTTCAACAGCGAAACGTAAAAACAAATAGACGATGTAGCAATGGGATCCCCACTAGGACCTACATCTGCTGATATATTTTTATCTGAATTAGAAAACTGACCACTGAAGAATGACAGTGCCAACATAGATTTGTATTATCGATATATAGATGATACACTTCTAGTCTATAATAAACACAACTCTATTGAGGTGAAGACAGGAGTAAGACAAGGTTGCTGCCTACTATCACCAATCGTCTTCCTGATTGTGGTCGACTGCACTGAACTGGATCATGTAACAAACTGTGAGGAGCGAGAAGAGGGGGATACGCTGCTTGACCGATGAAAGGACCATAGTAGAAGATTTGGATCTCGCTGATGTTTTGTGTCTAATATCTCACAAATTCGAAGATCTACAGGCGAAAACCAAAGAGTTGGCAGAAGACGCAGCAAAGATGCGACTTCAAGTGAACGTGGAGAAGACAGAAGTAATGAAAATACCCAACCACCACAACCAGAGACAACAACAAACACCAATCACCATCAATGAGAGAAATCTAAACGAAGTAGTATCTTTCACTTCAACACCTACCTACCTAGGTAGCATCGTTCCAACTACACGCCACACAAGCACAGATGACGATGTCAAAGCCAGCCAGGATCGGAAAGACAGCAAGACAGGCCTTCATTAATCTTGATTCAGTGTGGAGATCTACTGCACTGCACTGCACTCAACATAAAGCATGAACAAGATCCGGATTTCCAACACCAATTCAGTCAAGTAAGTCGGTGATTCTATGTGATGGTTGAGAGACTTGACGCCTTACGTAAAGCATTTCCAACAAACTGCAGACATACATCACATCAACAGCTGCCGCCTACTCTCACTCGATACTGACACTGCAGATCAGATGACCAGAATTATGAGAATAATCAACAAAGAGTTCTGACTGGCAACGAACCAACCAAGAACCCATCGCCCAACAAACATGCAGAAGAAAGTGGAGGTGGATTGGGTTGGATTGGATTGGACATACACTGAGAAGACTGATTGGGGACATCATGTGCCAGGCCAGGAACTTGAGTGGAACCCAAATGGAAACGATGTGCTGGGCATCCGAGACGAGGGTGATATTTGAGAGATGGTGTGATGAAGAAATGAAAGCTTGTTGGCAGTGGTGGAGCCAGTTTGAAAAGACTGCAAGGAAGACAGTGTAATGGAGACATGCTACTGAAGCCCTATGTTCCACTAAGAACCCAAGGGACAAATAATAATAATGATAGATTTGACCCTCAACCACTTCAATAACGACCATCCAGCAGTTCATTTTGCAAATGAATGTGAAAGTAACAACTCTCTTCATTTCCTTGATGTCCTAATGACAAGAAAAGATGACGGTTCCTTGAAACGAAGTGTATATACGAAGACAAGTAAAGTACAGTATACACATTTTTTCAGCTTTGTACCAATGTAGTAGAAACAAAATGTTACTTGATGTTTAGCGTTTAGAGTAAGGTCTGTCTGCTCTGAGGAATGTATCGAGAAAGAATTACAAGCCCTTCAGGATATTTCAAGGGAAACCGATATCCTGAGAAGTTTATATAAGAAAACGTCGCTTGTAGTACTCAAGAAAACGAACTGACAGGCATGCAGAAAAAACTTTTGTTTCTGCGTCTGTTGTTTAAAGAAGACACCTTGAGGGAAATTTTATCACATCATCTATCCAGAGCAATAAATAAAACGCTTTACTCAGGATATCTGTGCCCATCCTTTAATAGCCAATCATTCCTCAACCAGAGACTTAGACAACTAGGGTGTTTTATCTAAATTCAGCTCTTCATCATGTATATACCAATTCAACTATTCCTGTGGAACAAGTTATATAGGGCTCAGTATTAGACATATTCATCTCAGGGTACGAGAACATCTACGGGTATGGTTTGCAAAGAACGAGATCAAATCTATTAGAAATTCTATACTAGCACACCAAATAGATACTAGCATAGCTTTCACTGTGATACACCGTGTTCCAAAGACTATCATGTGCTATTCCTTCACACATTCTCCATACAGAGGAAGCTGTAGCTATAAGATCAACAAAGTCGCTATTGTGTATTCAAAAAGAACACGTCCAAGCCCCACTCCTCCCTTGACCTTCCACCGACTAAACAGTATTCTCTCAACCTTTGTGTTTTTTTCTCAATTTTCTTCTTCGTCTCCGCTCTCCTCTCTTCTTTCTTTTCAGAATAAAAAAGAAGTTATCATTACTATTATTAATGTTATTTGTTGACCAGACTTTTCTTCTCTCTTATCATAATAAACCTTTCAAATTCCTGTTAATGATGGATCGTGGCTAGCAGTGGAATCCAGGAAGCGCATTTAATCTTATTTGGGACTTGTCAGCTGGATATACCTGCTTCCCGGTGAGTGATGTTGTTCTCATCGGGATTCGGACTCCGGAGCGATCGCTTCAAACGCCAGCGCGTTATACACTACACCACCGAGCCACGATAGCCACTTCTTGTGAGACGGGTATAGTTTTTAGTATAGTCAACAACGGTATTATATAAAAACAATTATACTTTCAAATTCCTGTTTAAATTTTTTCACATTATTACTACTCTCATTATCTTGTTCATTTCACATTGTTAACCATCTTATGATGATAAACCCACTCCATTTCTGTTCTTAGGTAAATTCACGTCATTCTTTGTACTAAACACTCACTCAATACAATGCAACCTTGAAGTT